GCTTTGCTTCTGTGAAGATTGACAGCCTTGGAGACCCTGTGGGCAGTTCCACTCTGTCCTCTAGGGGCGCTGTGAGTCAGAATGGACTCCAGGCAGTGGGTGTGGTCTGGGCTTTGCTTCTGTGAGGATTGACAGCCTTGGAGACCCTGTGGGGCAGTTCCACTCTGTCCTCTAGGGGTGCTATTGAGTTGGAATGCACTCCACAGTAGTGGGTTTGGTTTGCGCTTGATCTCCCTAAAGACTGACAGCCTTGGAGACCCTGTGGGGCAGTTCTTCTGTGTCACGTGGGGTTGCTAGGAGTTAGAACTGAGTCTATAGCAACAGGCGGTTTTGCTCCCATTTGGGAACAGATTTTCTTTGTTGTGTTAATAAATCAATATTCATAGAGGGTGTGCCTTAAGTCAATCTTAGTTGGGATGAAACCACAGATTCAGCAATTACAGACAGAGGGGAAGGTGCACCCAACATCATGGAACCTAAGGATGGACCCTGAAAGGAGACCAGAACCTTCCCCCAGAGCCGGCCCCTGAATTCAGGCTGCCAGCCTCCGGAGCTGTGAGAAAATACACTTCTGTTCCTGAAAGCCACCCCCTTGTGGTGTGTCTGGTCTAGCAGTGGTGGGAGGCTCAGACGTGCTGGGACCGGTGCATGTCCCCTTTGCACAGGGGTCCTTACAAGTGTGACTGACGGCATTCCTGCCCCTCTGACCCCCTCCTTGTTTCCACGCAGGGGGAAGAGTGTGGAAGGTCCACTACGCGACTCCCCAGTTCCACCCCGAGGGCGCCGGCGCTTGCTACGGCCGCGGGGTGTGCCCGTGCTCGGGGGCAGGCGTGGCGCACCACAACCCGCCCCTGCTCTTCGATCTCTCTGGAGATCCCTCCGAGGCACGCCCCCTGTCCCCCAGCTCGGAGCCCCTGCATGGCTCCGTGGTGGCCAGGGTGGCTGAGGCGGTGGAGGTGCACCGGCGAACCCTGAGCCCTGTGCCCCCGCAGTTCTCGGTGGGCAACATCGTGTGGCGGCCCTGGCTGCAGCCCTGCTGCGGGGCCTTCCCCTTCTGCTCCTGCGATGAGGACGGGGACCCCCTGCGATGAGGACGGGGACCCCCTGCGATGAGGACGGGGACCCCCCCGCGGGCCGGGCCTGTGAGTGGGGACCCGGGGAGCGTCACCCACTAGCTGCCCTTGAGTCGACCAGAGTAGAACTAGGCTCCCTGGGGTTCTCCGTGGCTGCATGTTCAGAAATAGATTGCAGGCCGCTTTTCCGAGGCACCTCTGGTGGACTTGAACCCCCACCCTCTCAGTGAGCACCAAACTGTGTTCAAGGTGAGCCCTCCCCCACCCCTCGCTCACCTCCCTCCCCCTCCCCCCAGCACCCTCCTGGGGGGGGGCAGGAGCGCTGACTTACAGCTGCACCCCAAGGCTCTGATTATCTCAGGCCCCACCCCTACGCCAGGTCTGAACTTTAACTGTGGACCCCGTAAGTGCATTGCCAGCTTTGTGGTGGCGCCGTGCCTAAGGCACTTGACTGCTGAGCAGAAGGCTGGCGGTTCAAACCCACCAGCCACTCCAAGGAAGGAAGGTTGGGCAATCCACTTCCGTAGTGATACTGCCTCCGAAACCCAAGGAGGTGTCGCTATGAGTCTACTCCGTGGTGGGTTTGGCCTTTTTTTTTTTTTGAGCTGTGTGGTGGCCTCAGGTGGCCTCCCAGGGTTACCTTTTTTCCTGATGGTTGGGTGGTTTGCAACTGGTTTCACCGGTTGGACAGCCTTCTCCAGTGGTCAGAGGGCGGGAACGTTCCCTCCCCAACACACCAGCTGGGATTATCTACTTAGAGCGCCCCTGAAACCCAGATTCACAAACCTCAGTATTCAATCCAGTGGAGAGAGGGGCCGTAGGGCATGTGTGTTGGGGGGAGTCTCTCTGGGCCCCCAGTGCTGGTCTGTAAGCTCGCAAGCACGTGGGTGCGCTCTCCCACATACTCTGTCCATCCCTGTCTCTGTCTGTCTATCTCTCTGTTTACTCTCTCCCCCTTCCTCCCTCTCTCCCTCTGCCTCCGTCTCTCCAGCCCTCTCATGCTCTCTCTCACTGGCCCAGAAGCGGCCTCCTGAGCAGCTGACAGTGCTTCCGGTCTGTGGAGTCTAGAGAGAGATTCCAAATACCCAAACTGGGGGCCTCTATGCACAGGGGACACTTTAGTGGGCTCTGGCTGCCCCTACGTGGACCTGTTAATGTTCACTTCAGCACTAACGCAGTATCTAAGATGTGGAAACACCCCAAGTGTCCATCCGCAGAGGATGACTAAACACAACGGGGTCCATCCGCACAATGGAGTATTACTCAGCTATGAAAAAGGAACCACCCAAGTGTCCACCAGCAGAGGACAGAGCAGCACAGTTCCTGCCAGTCGACTCTGACCCACGGTGTCCCACGTGTGTCAGAATAGAACTGTGCTCCATGGCTGACTTTTCTGGAAGGAGACCACCAGGTCCTTGTGAGGCCCCTCTAATTAGACTTGAACCTCCCACCTTGGAATTAGCAGCCAGCTCAGCACTGTTTGCATCTGCAGGGATCCCAAAACCAAACCAGTCCTGAGTCACGGTGACCCCGCGTGTTGCTAGATCAATGAATAAAGCTGACAACAACAATGAAAAAACAGTGCACCTGGACTTGACCCCAGCTCCTTGTAACCCCAAGTGTGTGTGGCCGTGAATCTTTAAACACAGAGGTCCCGTATCTGAATTGGGTGACATGAGACCTAAATTATACTCCATTGTGAATGTCTGCTTAAGAAACCTTCCGTCTTTTTGTCAGTTTTACTGTTTAAATAACAGAAGGCAGGATTTCTGACCTAGCGGCAGCGTTACTCACTGGACCTGAGTTTTCTTTTTGTTGAGGCATGGTGATCTGTACTGAAGAATGTGAAGCAGGAAGTTGAAAAATACAACTGATCGCCAAGGTCAATAAAGTTAGAACTTGGAAGTCTGTAGGTGACCCAGGGACCCATCAAGGACTTTTTCCCTCACTGGGATTTCCCACTGTATGTCTGCTAGTTCTTTGTCAATCTGTAACTAAGAAAAGGACACCGACTTCAGGTAGGACAGAAGAGTTAACTCCTGCGTGAATGCTGCTTTAAACAACCCTCAGGGTGTAACGGACAGACTTCCTGCTGACGTTGAACTTGGTAGCTCTTCACCTGTTTCCTCCTCCACCTCTACCTGCCTGGGAACACGGCTCCTTTTAATGCCTTAACTGTTCTCCCTGCAGCTGAAAACATTTTACCATCTGACATGGATGGCTGTAAGTGTCTCCCCATTTCAAATGATTTTATTCCCTCAGTAACTCTCTTCCCTTAATTTCTGGCCGACGGTCGGTGTGGCGTTTTGCACTAACCCGTCTCAGATCAGGACTGTGCTCCACGGGGTGTCAACGGCTGATTTTTCAGGAGAGGGCTACGCCTGTCTTCCTAGGCACCCCTGGGTGGCCTTGAACCTGCAGCCTTTCAGTCATCTTCTGAGTGTTAACTCTCGTTGGCACCGCCCGGGGCCTCCTCAGGTGCTCAGGGGGCTATGACTTACCCATAAAGAGGAATGAATGCGACCAGGGCAGAGCCTTCCCCCCATTGCCCGCAGTGAAGCAGATCACCGAGGTGTCTTGAAGGTGGTGCTGGGTGAGCTGCGACCACCAGTCTTGTGGTTAGGAGCCAAGTGCGTAAACCGTTTACAGCACTCAGGACTCCACGTTAATCGAATACAGACAGAAAGTAAGTTAGCGGTTGCCTAGGGTCTAGTGGAGAAAGATGATGCACTTGGTTTTCATAAAGACTGACAGCCTAGGAAACCCTGTGGTGCAGTTCCACTCTGTCCTCTAGGGGCGCTGTGAGTTGGAATCCCCTCCAGACAGTGGGTGTGGTTTGGGCTTTGCTTCTGTGAAGACTGACAGCCTTGGAGACCCTGTGGG